ATGCTTCTGTATTTTCCAGTGTGTTATTGATTTTAAAATTATTTTATATTGTATATCTATTAACAGATTTATGCAGATTTGTATTGTTTATCATATTCTGTACAACCTTAAGAGTTTTATGCACCATCATTACAATAGTAAAGACTTCTATATGTGTATATTTACATTTAATAGAGAGGTTTATATATGTATGTGGTTTTATGATGCTGTTTAGTATCATTTTATTTTTCAACAAATGGACTCATTTTAGCATTTTTTTTTTTCTATGCAGAGTTAGGACTATGGTAGTAATGATGAACACCTTCACCTTTTATTTTGGAAAGTATTTATTTATATCTTCTTTTTGAAGTAAAATAATTTATTATTAGTGGTAAGAAATTTTTTTATTGCATCAAAATTTGGGAAGTTGTTTGACTTTTTTGCTTTCACGTAACCTCTGTATTACTTTTTTCCTATGTTCTTCTAAGATTCCTTTTATGAATATATTCATCTACTTGATGATGTCCAATCAGTTTTTCATTCCATTTTTAATTTTGTTTCAGAGTTTTATATTTTTGTATCATATATTTTAGGATATGTCATCTCACATCAGTTAATTGTGTTTTGATTATAACCACAATTTATAATTGTATATGAAAATATTTTTATAATTATAGTACATTATTGATCATGTTTATAATTGTATATCACAATATTTAACTCTTTATAATTTAAGACAGTGTGGAGCAACATCAAATATGAATTAGCCATATTTCTGTTGCCAATATAATGATCTCTTATGTTTTGCCTGGATCAATATTATCCCTGCATTATTTTATGACTTGTGTATTTGTTGTGTATGTTTATTGTGAATGATTATTTAACCCTATCTCACTGATTTATCATATATATATTTTTAATGTCAACATCTATCTGTGAATCTATATTATTTTTGTGTGGAAGAAATTTTTTTTTTTTTTTTGGACAGAGTCTTGCCCTGTAGCCAGGCTGGAGTGCAATGGCACAATCTCAGCTCACTGCAACCTCTGCCTCCCAGGTTCAAGCAATTCCCCTGCCCCAGCCTCTGGAGTACCTAGGACTACAAGTGCTGCCACCACCCCCAACTAATTTTTTGTATTTTAGTAGAGATGGTGTTTCACCATGTTGGCCAGGATGGTCTCAATCTCCTGACCTCGTGATCCACCTGCCTCAGCCTCCCAAAGTACTGGCATTACAGGTGTGAGCCATTGCACCTGGCCAGGAGAAAAATTAAATTAAATTATCTTATATTTGAAGATAATTTAGGAACTATTATATAGCTGAATGTATTCTAGTCATTGTTCATTTTTACTTGTCAAAACCACACAACAAAATTTACAATACAATATTATTAAATATTCATTTTTAGTCCTGTTAATTACATTGACATTGTTATGCTACATGTTGCTAGATATTTTATCTTGCAAAGCTAAATCTCAATACACATTACATAACATAAACTTGTCTCATTTCCCGGAACTTTTCAAACACCACTCTGTTTTCTGTTTCTGAGAGTGCACTGCTTTCTGTATCTTATACAATCTCGGTCTTTTTCTGGCCGGCTTATTTTATTTGCATAATGCCATTGAAATGTATTTTTATAGTTGTTAGCATATTTTCTAGTTTTTAAAAACGAAGTAATATTTAATATTTTTATATTTTAAATGATATCTACTGAATGATTTGGCGACACTAATTTGCATTGCTTCAAGAATGCAATGTGAAATTCCAACAGCATTGCATTAAATTTGTAGATTGCACTGAGCAGTATGGACATCTTTACAATATTAGTCATTTCCACCTTTGAACAACAGCATGTTAAACAGTTTGTTGTTTAATTTCTATATATTTGTGAATTTTTCAGGTTTTATTATTTTAAACTCTCATTCCATTTTGATATTTGTTTTAAATGATCTTGGATGATATTAGTTTTAAAAATTTTGCTCTCATGTGTTATTTGTTAAGACCGTTTTTGTTGTTGTTTGGTTTTTTGAGGTTTTTTTTGGCCTAACAGGTGGCCTAGGAAGTAGAATGTTGTATGAGTTATTGAGATCAGTGTATCCTGATTTTGTAGAGGAGTGTTCTCTATACCTCTGTTAGGAATAATTGTTTTATACTGCCTTCAAGTCCTCTTTTTCTTTACTAATATTCTGTCTTGTTTTATTTTTATTATAGAATGTGGGGTATTGAAATATCCTACTCTACTTACATATGCTCTGTGATTCTTCAGTTTTGTCAATATTTCTTTATATACTTGGAACTGTAGTGTGAGGTACACACCACACATAGAAACACACACACTCACAAATAAATGTACATACAAATGTGTCATAAGTTCCCAGTGAATGAATCTGTTATTTCTTAATATCTTTCTTTGAATCTTTGGAGTTTGGACTTAAAGTAAATTTTTAAAAATATGATAGTTTTTGACTTAAAATATAGCTCACATATTTTGACCTGTTCTACTCTGACTTGGTTAATATTTGCATGGAACATCTATTTTGCCACTTTCAGGTGTTGTTTTTTTTCTGTAATGAAATCTGAACTGACTTATAGAAAGGCAAATTGGGCGTTGGTTTTTAAAGTATGTTTTATAAATTTCATTATTGAAAGTATGTCTCTTGATTGGGAAGTTAATCATATATGTGTGTGTGAATATACATATTTATAATTTTCTTAAATAGAGAGACTTACTAATGTTATTTTATTCTTTGATTCTTGTATCTTTGTTCCTCGTTTCCTCTCTTTCTAATCTTCCTTTGTGTCTTTTTAATTTCTGTATTAATATGCTTTCACTTTCTTATTTTCTTTCATATATTTATACAGATATTTTCTTTGTGTTATCTTCGGGATTACATAAAACCTCTAAAAGATACAACAGTATACTTTAATCTTATAAAAAAATAGCTTCAGTTGCAAGCAAGTGTTCCTCATTACATTTGCTCTCATTTGTTATTTATATTACTAATTATATCTTTTTATGTTGTACATGTATTAACAGATGTTTATAAAATTTTCTATGCTTTTATAAATTTTAAAGAATAATTTAAATCTTCTTCCACTGTCATGATAATGCTAAGGAATTCAATTGTTTGTATGTGCATATCTTTTCCAGAACAATGTATTTTCAAATAATTAAGTGTTGCTTTTTGTATCATGTTATTTTCAGTGAAAGAAATTCATTTTATCATCTTCGATATATAGCACACGTGCTGTGCCAGTATATTTTCTCAGAATTTAGTTATTTTGGGATGGTTTTTTTTTATTTTAATTTTTGTAGAACAGTTTTGCTGTTGATATTATTCTCACTTGATACATTTTTTTGTTTTAAGGATTTTCACTGTAACACAGTTTCCTTCTGGCCTGCAAATTTTTTGGCAAATTTGCTGGTTATCTTATGAGATTATGCTTGTAAATGACACATCAGTTTTCTCTTGCGGCACCCAAGATTTTCTTTTCATCTGTGACTTTTGAAATTGTATCTATATATGTGTTCGTTATAAATATCTATGTGCATATCCCAGTTTGTTTTATTGATCCTCTAACTTTTTACATTATTTTTTCTTCTAGAATTTTTTAGTTGTTATTTCTTTATGCATATTTAGCTTTTACAATTTTTTGATATTTTAAATATGTTTGTGCTTATTCTGATTTTTAAATTTTAATAGTTGTCTGTGTTCCTCTTTCTCAGTATCATTTAATTATTTTAAATGTTTAAAAATTACTTTATATGTCTTCGTTTTTTGTGTTTCCTTTGCGAACAGCTTATAATTTTTATATGGGACTATTTTGCTGTAATGTTTTCTATTCATTGTAATTTTTGATAGAGATCTGGACATTTAAAAAAAATCTACCTGTCACAGTCTTTGTAATGTAGCTTTTTTTTCTGGCATACATTAAAACCTATTGTTTTAGCCAGAGATTCTGGGAATTTCTCAGACATGTTCTTAGGATGTATCTTGTCTGAAAATTTGTGTTTATTTTTAGTTAAAGAAATTTATTAGTGTTTCTGGTTAATGGCCAGTCCTCATTTGCTACATGTGTTTTCTCTCTGTAGTACTGCAGTCTCTCTACTGCTGTATCATCTACCTTAGATCTTAGCAGACTCAAACTGTCATTGTAAAAAATGCTATTATAGTAGTCTGCTTTCATGCTGCCAAAAAGACATACCCAAGACTCGGTAGTTTATAAAGAAAAAAGGTTCAATGGACTCACTGTTCCACGTGGCTGAGGAGGGCTCATAATTGTGGCAGAAAATAAAGACAAAGCAAAGTGACATCTTACATGGTGGCAGTTAGAGAGGGGGCATGGGCAGAGGAACTCTCCTTTATAAAAACTATCAGATTTTGTGAGACTCCTTAACTATCACAAGAACAACATAGGATATACCCGTACCCATAATTCAATTACTTCCCACCAGCTTTCTTCCACAACTAGTGACAATTATGAAAGCTACAATTCAAAATGAGGTTTAAATGGAAATACAGAGCCAAACCATATTAGCCACCACTTTCTTTAGTATTTAATGCCATGGAAGACAGAAACCAGTTTGTGAAAAGACTCTTAGAAGCTAGATATAGAAATGTATGTGCCACTATTTTACTGGGGTTTATTTTATTTATTTATTTTGATAAAATTGAAAGACAGAAGTCGGCAGTTTACTTCTAAAGGCACTACATTCTGTTTTGGGAGCAGGAAGAGCTCTGCTGGATAAGTGTAACAATTATTTTTCTATTTGATTCTTTGCATTGTGCTCACCTGGGGAACTGCACACAAGTAACTTATTTATAAATCTTCCACAAATGTGTTTTGGTCAGTATGTTTTTGTTGAATATAGATGTCTATAAAGGAAGTAGAGCCTGTGGTGCTTTTCTATGCCATCTTGCTCATGCAGTTTGTATAATTTTATAGGTTAGATGTATAGAGTATACAAATCTTAGTCTAGCAAGTGAAGTAATATGTTATTTTCATTTTCTTTTCAGCTATGTGTTCTTATTTTGCCCAAGACCTTTGGCCAGAGCAGGACATAAAAAAATCATTTCAAAAAGTGATCATGAGAAGATATGGAAACTGTGGAGATGAAAATTTACCACTAAGAAAAGAGTGTGAAAGTGTGGACGATTGTCAAATGCACAAAAGAGTTTATAATAAACTTCACAAATGTTTGAAAGCTACCGTGAGCAAAACATTTCTATGTTATAAATATGTAAAAGTCTTTCATATATTTTCATATTCAAATAAGTCTAAGATAAGACATGCTAAAAAGAACCTTTATAAATGCGAAAAATGTGACAAATCATTTTGCATGTTTTTACATCTAATTCAACATAAAAGAATTCATACTAGAGTGAATTCCTACAAATGTGAAGAATGTGGCAGAGCCTTTAAATGGACCTCACACCTTACTAAACATAAGAGAATTCATAGTGGAGAGAAACCCTACAAATGTGAAGTATGTGGCAAAGATTTTAACCAGTTCTCACACTTTACTAGACATAAGATAATTCATCCTGGAAAGAAACCCTACAAATGTGAAGAATGTGACAAAGCTTTTAACTGGTCCTCAAACCTTACTCAACATAAGAGAATTCATAGTGGAGAGAAGCCCTACAAATGTGAAGAATGTAACAAAGATTTTAACTGCTCCTCAAACCTTACTCAACATAAGAGAATTCATAGTGGAGAGAAACCCTACAAATGTGAAGAATGTGGCAAAGCTTTTAACTGCTCCTCACACCTTAATACACATAAGAGAATTCATAGTGGAGAGAAACCCTACAAATGTGAAGAATGTGGCAAAGCTTTTAACTGGTCCTCACACCTTAATAAACATAAGAGAATTCATAGTGGAGAGAAATCCTACAAATGTGAAGAATGTGGCAAAGCTTTTAACCGGTCCTCACACCTTAATAACCATAAGAGATTTCATAGTGGAGAGAAACCCTACAAATGTGAAGAATGTGGCAAAGCTTTTAACTTTTCAACAAACCTTACCACACATAAGAGAATTCATAGTGGAGAGAAACCTTACAAATGTGAAGAATGTGGCAAAGCTTTTAACCTTTTATCAACCCTTACTACACATAAGAGAATTCATAGTGGAGAGAAACCCTACAAATGTGAAGAATGTGACAGGGCTTTTAACCAGTCCTCACACCTTACTAGACATAAGAGAATTCATACTGGTGAGAACCCCTACAAATGTGAAGGATGTAGCAAAGCTTTTAACTGTTCTTCACACCTTACTAAACATAAGAGAATTCATAGTGGAAAGTGACCCTTCCAATGAGAAGAGTGTGGCGAAACTTTTATCCATTTCTCAATCTTCACTAAACATTAGACAATTAATAATGGAGAGAAATCCTGCAAATGTGAACAGTGTGGCTACGGCTTTTGTGTTTTCTTAACCTTTACTGAACATAAGAATCTGTGCTGAAGAGAAACCCTATACAAATGTGAAGAATGTGGCAAAGGCTTTTGTGAATCCTCAGCACTTAGTAAACATAAAATAATTCCTACTACAGCATGTGGGAAAGCCTTTTAGCAGCCCTCAATCCTTACTAACCATAAGCAACTTCATACTGGAGAGAAACCTGATACTTTCGAAAAACATGGAAAAGTTTTTAACTAGTTCTTACACCTGACAGAACATGAAATAATACATAATGGATGGAAACTACTAATGTTAAGAATGTGACAAAGCCCTTACTATATTGTTAACCCTTCGTAAACATAAGATAATTCATACTGGAGAGAATTCCAGCAAATGTGAAAAACGTGACAAAGACTTTAACAAGCTCTCAACATTTATTACACACAATTCATACTGGAGAGAAATCCTACTAGGATAAAGAATGTGTCAAAGCCTTTTACACCTCCTCAATTCTTCGCAGACATAATTTATATTGGAGACAAACTCTACAAACCTAAAAGTTGGGACAATGCTTTTCACAATGTAAAATAAATCATAATGGTCCTAGACCCCAGAAATGTCAAGAATGTCTCAAAGCCTTTAAATGGCTGTCACTCTTGATTGTTGGTAAGATAATTCACACTGTAGAAAACTACATGTTTGAAAAATATGGCAAAACTATTAACTAGTATTCACATTTTATTGCATGAGAAAGCATTTATAATAGAGAAAAATTCTACAAATATAAAAAAAGGTGGAAAAGCCATTGATACCTGCTCATATCTTACTCAACATCCAAGAGTTTATACTTAATAAAAGCATTGCAAGTGCAATTACTGTCAAAATAGCTTTCAGAAAATATAAATCGTTAAAGTGAAGAAGAGCATTCATTCTGAAGACAACCATTACAAATATAGAGTTGTAGTACCATGACTTGTTTCATAGATGTTAGTGTACAAATTTTGTATTAGAAAAAAAGCCTGAAGCAGTTTCTCAAAACTTATTCAACATCAGGGAACTTATATTATATTGGAGAAAAACCTAATAAAAGTAATAAGTTTAACTAAAGGATTGTTCAAAAATGACAGCTAAGAAAACACCAGAGAGTTCATCATAAAATGAATGTTTACACATGCAGTAACTATGAAAACATTTACTTCAAAATTAAGTCTATGTCAACATCAACAATTCACAATAGAAAGAACTAAGACACCGACACTTCAGGCTTTACACTAAATTGGAGTGTTGAGTGTAGAAAATTATCCAAAACTAAAGTTATTATATTATTTCTGTATAACTTTAACAAAAGAAAATTGGAGAGTTGTAGTTGCATTCAAAGGATACTTATTTCATTTAAAAACCTTAGAGATTAATTTTTGGAAAGCGAATAATAATTCAACTCACAATATACTTCATGTGGTATTTTGTATTTTTATGGTCATAATAAAAATTATATAGAAGTATAAATAAAATTCATATGTTTCTACGTCTCAAGTATTTTAAATAATTTGTTATATATTTTTCTTTGAACATGTGAACTGCCTACACATACAGACTTTTAGTTTTGATTCACATACAGTTAAATATATACATGTTAGTCTAATGAAATGTCTTAAGTGTAATAGAATTGTAGCATAAGTGTGTTTTTGTGTGTATGAGTTTTACCAATTTTCAGAAAAAGAGCAACATTGAAACGTAACATATTAATACAGTGACTAACTTACTAGAAAACTAAAAACCTCAAGAATGCTGAATGAAAATCTATACTCTATTTTGATTTAATTCGTTATTGTACAGGCCCATACTTTTCCTGTTTCTTATAATTAGTTTTTGGTTTTACAGTATAAAAAGTATTCATTGTAAGCCAGTTAGTAGATAATTTTTATAAAATGTAGTAGGGCACACAAAATAATTTTTAGATGTAATTTCCTAATTCATGTTTTTTTGTTCGTTTGTTTTATTTTCTTTCTAGAGCATTTTATTGTCTTCAATTGGAGAAATCTCTATAAGCCTACTCTTCTTTAGTTATTGTTCCTTTAACTTTTTATAATTGGTAAGTAAATTTATCTGTTAAGCCAATTTATTCAGGGAATTACTTGGGAGGCTTCATGAATCATGAGGATTATAGGTTTTTCTTTCTGGGTTTTTTTGTTTGTTTGTTTGTTTTTTTGAGCTGGATTCTCGATCTGTCACCCAGGCTGAAGGGCAGTGGTTTAATTTCAGCTTACTGCAACCTCCACCTACTGAGTTCAAGAAATTATTGTCTCAGCCTCCCAAGTAGCTGGGATTAAAAGTGCCTGCCATGACACCAACCTAATTTTTGTATTTCTAGTGGAGTTGGCATTTTGCGATGTTGGACAAGCTGGTCTTGAACTCCTTACCTAATTGATCTGATCCTCAGCCTCTGGAAGTGCTGGGATTACAGGTGTGAGCCACTGTACCCAGTGAGAATGTTTTGATATATAAATGTAGTAAACAAACATGATACTGCTTCTCATGTAACAGATGCTCCATGATAAGCCATAAGTATTTTTGCTGGAGTTAGTTTGCCAGTTCAAGTCAGATATGGAATATTAGTGGTAAAGAAATAATGTTGATTCCTCATGTGGAGAGAACATTTTTTCCAGGCTGCAAAGCAAACTCTTGCTGAATTTAAAGAGAAATTCTGCTGCTTCTTTTTTTTTTCTGATTATCTTCAGTTTTGTTTGTCATCTTATGTGTATTTTAAGTATATATGCATCACAGACCTTCTTTTTCTGTGTTATGGCTACAGTTTCCTCACTTTCGTTTTTATGTCATATCCTTTCATATGGTACTTTGTAGATTTTGATGAGAAAATTGTTTCTGTTTTTGTTTTTTTTTTCTCGAGATGGAGTATTGCTCTTGTTGCCCAGGCTGGAGTGCAAGGGCATGATCTCTGCTCATCACAACCTCTGCCTCCTGGGTTTTTCTTCTACCTTAGCCTCCCAAGTAGCTGGGATTGTAAGCATGTGCTAAAATGCCCAGCTAATTTTGCATTTTCAGTAGAGGTGGGGTTTTTCCATGTTGGTCAGGCTGGTCTCAAACTCCTCAACTCAGGTGATCCACCCACCTTGGTCTCCCAAAGTGGTGAGATTGCAGACATGATACACTGTGCCTGGCCTGAAACTTTTAATGCAGTAAAAGTCGGTTTTAACTGGAGACTGCTTGTCAATATAACTTTAATATCAGATAAAGATAAAGGGTGTACACTATTCACAGGGGGAGAGAAATTGTTTAGTAATTTTTTTGGAAAAAATTTTTTAAAAGATTCTTACAGAAAGTATGTCAAATATATATCTTTGTAATTAAATTTCTAACAGTTAATAGTAATAAATTTTTAATGTTTCATGATATACTTATGGCACAAGCTATGTTTTCATGCAAAATGTCTATATTTAAGTGTGAATGTTACAGATTGCCAAATAATAAAATAACCTCTGTATATTTTAAATTTGAATTTTTATATTGATATTATAATTTGAAGGAATTTCTTATTGTTATTTTATGTATCCTTGGGGGGTGAAGTTCAGCATACAGTTTTTATACGTAGTCACCTATCTGTACTGAACTCCTTGGTTATTTTCTCTGGAAAATATGTGGAGATTATGCTAGTTTTTGAATTAAAGTACTTTCTGTTATTCTGCAGGCAAATTTGTTTAGTATGTTCACAGAGTGGCCAGTCATGGGACCACCAGCAGTCGTGGGATCGCCTGCCTTTTTGCTGTCTTTTATATCATTAGTATTAGCACCAGAAACTTCAGGTTCCCCAAACTTAATGTTAAAGTCCTAAAGTAAATCGGCTTCTTCCAGGCACTGTGCAGGGTCCAGGGCATGATGTTAAGTATTGAAGTTTCTGTGGTTATAATTGACAAATGACAGAATAGCGCAAAGCTATATATTGTTAATACTATTCAGTCAAGCTTGTGACAAATACAGATCATATTTGAAATATTGTTAACTTTCTATAAAGTTCTAAAAACACATTTTTTAACTTGACATGAAATGGGTACTTACTTTTTAAAACATGATATTTTGAAGTATATATACATTGTCGAATACTTAGCCCTGTGTGATAAATGCGTTAACAGAGTTAGCCTTTTTTGGTGAGACCACATGGCATTGTCTTAGCATTTTTCAAAAATACACATTTTTATGAACTATAGTCATCAAGCTGTACAATAAATCTCTTGAAATTATTTTTCTCTATACAGCTATAATTATGTATTCTTTAGCAGACATTTTTCCAACCTCCCTTTTCTTCTAATTACCTTGGCACTTGGTGGTCACTATGCTACTCTGTACCTCAGTGAGATTAAGTTTTTTAAGAATACATTTGTATGTGGAATCATGAGATACTAGTGTTTCTGTGACTGGCTTATTTCAACAAATATAATGTTTTCCAGGTTAATCCATGTGACTGAAAATAATAGAATCATTTAAAAAAATTAAAAATATTCCATTTTGTATATATAGCATATTGTGTTCCTTTATGTATTAGATGTTGAACTGTTGATGCCATATTTGCGCTACTGTGAAGAGTGCTGCAAGCAACAGAGAAGTGCAAGTATTTCTTCATTCTCACTTTGAGTGTATATCTGAAAGTGCAATTGCTGGATTATATGGTAGTTCAGTTTTAATTTTTTTTCAGAAATTTCTATTTTTTTTTTATGGTTGTTGTCATTTACATCCAAACCAACAGTGCGTAAGCATTTCCTTTACATCGTTACCAATGTTTTCTTTTTATTCTACCTAAATATCTCATAGGTATTTATTTTTGTTTTCGTATTTCTGCTTTTCTCATAGGTAAATTTTATACATATCTCATAGGTATTTTTTGATTGTCTTTCTCTGACAATAATTGACATTGAGCATTTTTCGGTTTATCTCTTGGCCATGTCTTTTCTTGAAAAATATTTAAGCCTGGGTTTGGCATGGTGGCTGATGTCTGTAATTGCAGCATTTTGGGAGGCCAAGGTGGGTGGATCACCTGAGGTCAGGAGTTTGAGACCAGCCTGGCCAAGACGGTAAAAACCCATCTCTACTGAAAATATAAAAATTAGTCAGGCATGGTGGTGTATGCATATAATCCTAGCTACTAAGGGGGTGGTGAAGCAGGAAGATCACTTGAAACTGGGAGGTGTAGGTTGCAGTGAGCCAAGACTGTGCCACTGTACTCAAGCCTGGGCAAAAGAGTGAGACTTCATCTGAAAATAAATAAATAAATAAATAAACATAGTTATTTGTTTTTTGTTTTGTAGTCATTTGAGTTTCTTGTATATTTTTTATATTATCCTCTTGTCACACACATAATTTGCAAAAATACTTTCTCCCATTGTTTAGTTGTCTCATAATGTTGATTGTATCAAATTCTGTGCAGCAGGTTTTTACCTTGAAATAATCTGACTCATGTATTTTTTTCTTTTGTTCCTGGGATTTTGAGGTTAAATTTAAAAATTCACTCCCCAGACCAATGTTATAAGGCTTTTAGTCTATATTTTTGTAGTAGTTTCAGAGTTTCCAGACTTATAGTT